AAACTCACTCACACTACCTGTCCAAAATATAGTCTGTATTGTTTTAGAAAAAATGGTGCATTACACTAAAAAAAGGTATTGGTAATTGGTATCGGCGAATACTGGAGGAAAAGTATCGGTACTCTCATACTCAGTCTGGAAAAAATGATATCAGTGCATCCCTAATTTGCATAGTTGCTCCTGAGGGCAAACCCACTTCTTGCACTGAGGCTGAGGGCTCTTGAGAGAAGTAATGAGGCCGGGTGCTGTGGTGTTTTCAGAAAGCTATGTACAGCCCCCTGCATGCCCCCTGCCATCAGCAATGATTTGCCTGCATTGCATAGAGCAGCACAAAGTCCCAGTGATGTCATCACTAGATCTAAAATACAATATATAATGACAATGGCCATTCCAAACAATTCTTTAGCATGTTGATGAGGGAGGACCAGGGAAGGCAAAATGTAAGCAGAATAAACTTCACCTTTACATTTATTTGATTTGGAGAAGTGCATCTAACCTGGTGGGATTGTACCATGTGTGCCCTGCAGGCGCCAAATCTCCATAATCGGTGTCTGTAAAAAGGCTCCTGTAACCAGCGGTGCCATCCGCAGTCACTACATGCACCCTCCTCTGTCATTGGGGCATCTGGTAAGGAGTGCAAGAAGTTTCTTTCTATATGTAAAAAGGGTCCCTCACGTTCCATTCATCCTGACAAGCCATCACATTAACATCCACCATGTTTTCCTACATAATAATAATTTGTGTCACTCCTGTATTATTTGCAGTGTGACTCCCCGTCTACCTAAAGCCGGAGAGACCATACACGGCAGCAAGTTTTTCATCGGGTTCGGAGGGAAAGGAGCAAACCAGTGTATACAGGCGGCCAGGCTAGGCGCACGGACCGCCATGGTGTGCAAGGTAAGGAGCTCTCTCCGACCTCACCGACCGACCCTAAAATGTCAGATTCTGTCTGTGAGCAACACAAGCAGGAAATACTCGTGTGATGATTTAGATTCATAGCTGAAATTCCTTCAGCCCGAAGACTAAATAAAACCTTCCCTGTTTAGTATTAAATAACTGTGCCATGAAGATTACATTCCATTGTAATATTCCACAAGATTAATGATTACAGAAGCTTCCTACTCCCTGAACTCACACCAGAGGGTTCTGTTATAGTCGTAGTATCACCGCCAGAACATTTTTAGAAACAGCGCTCAAAAATAGACTCAAGGTGGTGACCCATCGTTGAGCTAGATGTTCCATGATGGCGGTTAAGCTGAGTGTATTTATGTGCTGTATTGTGTTCATGTTCAGGAAAAAGAACATTATTCAAAAAAAATATTAAAGGGGCAGTCCAATCAGAATTGATGTATTTATTTATGGTAGGAGCGTTAAACCAAGTGACTTAATTTGGATTTCTCAGGGACAAGGGCGGTGAGATCTTGCAATGGGCAATGTGCCAGGTTCTCTTTAAATCCCAGCCCTCAGCCCACTTGTACTTACTTTCGCTGTGCTGTCCCAACTCCGTTCCCCCACCAGGGCCAGGAATCCAAACCTGTAAGCTCGGTGTTGAAATTTGCGCAAGGTTCATGGCGACATCTTGCTCATTGGCATGTCAGGCCAATATAAGTGGCAAGGGCATGGGTGTGCCGGGAGGTGAATATACGTGGCAAGGCCGTGGGTGTGCAGGGAGGTGAATATAAGTGGCAAGGCCGTGGGTGTACAAGGAGGTGAATAAAAGTGGCACGGCCATTGGTGTGCAGGGAGGTAAATATAAGTGACACGGCCATTGGTGTGCAGGGAGGTGAATATAAGTGGCAAGGCCGTGGTGTGCAGGGAGGTGAATATAAGTGGCACGGCCATTGGTGTGCAGGGAGGTGAATATAAGTGGCACAGCCATTGGTGTGGCGGGAGGTGAATATAAGGAGCATGGCTGTGGTGTGCTCAGATCTGCTTCACCAGCTTCTCTCTGGCTTCTGTAGCTGGAGAGTGACAGCTGAATGCAGAAGTGATGTGAATGTGGCATCACTTCCGCACTCACAACACCGGAGGGGGGATCGCGTATTGATCTCCCTCCGATCTCCCTGCACAGAGCCACAGTTCCGGTACCAGACCCACACGAAGCACAGGGAGCCTGGGATCGTGGAGGGGGAGGGTCGCTCAAAAGCACAACATACAAGCGATCGAGCAGCTCTACAGACACCAGACCACATGTATGTAAACAGCCTTTGCTGGCTGTTTCAAATGTTGACAGTTTCCCACTCGTGCACACTATGTAGAGCGCACGAGCGGGCACAAAGGACGTTTTAAAAGGCCCACCCGCATCTAGAAGACGCCCGTGCGGCCGTTTATGTATGGTCAGCGGTTAAACAAAAATTGTAGTGTTTGATAAATCCGGTGTAGAATAAAAAGTTGGAGTAAGCCTATGGGAAGCAGATGAGGAAACTAAGGTCACATTGTCCATACCATCTTCCCATATTTAAACAGAAATGGGGCCTACACACCCTTCCATTTTACTCCTAGCAGAGAAATCAGATTTCAATTCACATTTAGGCCTTTACCATTTTCAGAAGTAAGTTAACAGCGGCAGGCCACCCATTTCTGCCATGACAGGTCTCCTTTAAGTACAGGTCCGCTTTCAAATCATTCCATCTGAGTCACACAATTGCTTCCCTTTAGTCACTATTGACGGTGAGCTGTTCATCGGCCTCACATCCGCCCCCCTGCGATGTTGCAAATGGCAGTGGATGCATTAATCAGGATGATTTGATAGCAGTGTTTTTCCCAGCAATGTTTGCTCCGGCCGTTCCTGGAAGATGTGTGTTTATTCTTTTATAGAATTCCACAGCCGAGCTTCACCATCTATTCCCGACTCCCAACAAACAGGTCTATATCCAGCACCTCGGGCCGCTATTATTAGATCCCTACTGCTCCACCTGGAACTTTTGCCTTGAGCTGCTGCATTCTCTCTGCTGGAAGAATCCTGCAAGAAAAAATCCCCCCAATTAATGAATTTATATTTAAAGGAGGACTCCAGGGAAAATGTTTCTTTACCCTTGCAGTGGGGCTAGCCCAGCACTGCAAGGGTTAAATGCTCATTTCCGTCTAGGTGCAAAAATAATAAAGTTATACTCACCTGAACCTCAGAGCCGGCTGGCTGTTGTACTTGCATCATCCTCGGAGTGGCTGGCTGCTACTCCGGTCCCTCCGGCCTGTCTCCTCCTCCGCTGCAGCGATGATGTGTCCCTCAGTGTCCTCACATCCAATGCATGTACAGGGCGTGATGACTCTGGGACCTTAGACCGCTACAGAGCGGCTGGAAGGATCGGTCTAAAAGCAAACCCGGCTCAGAGGATTGGGGAGCATTGTTATTTTTGCATCTAGACCAAAATGAGCACTTAACCCTTGCAGTGCGTGGTAGCCCCAGTGCAAGGGTTAAGAAACACTTTGCCCCGAGTTCTTCTTTAAAACGTAAAAAAGTCCTTTGAAGCTGAACTCCAGCTTTCCCTTCAGTGTTGCACAGTTGTCTCCTCTCCTGCACTGAAATGTCTTACTCTGATTTCACTGCACCCTGCGAGCTTCTCACAATGTGCATTAGAAGCTGCAGCAAGTCAGATAGGGCCCGCCTTATTTCCTGGCTGGAGGACGCCCAGCATCATCTAGGGCTTTCCTCCTCACTCTGATTGTCCCTGGCCCGCCCCTTTCAGTTACTGGATTTCAGTTCTTGCAATCATGGAGCCTCAGCATCATGTGTGGGCTTTACCAAGGGCAGTCTGCATGCCAATGCAAATCTACTTAGAGGAGAATTATGGGGAATGTGAAATGCACTCATCACCATAGTTAGAGCTGATGTGTGACACTGCGGCTGTCACGCATCGGCTCTATTGATTGAAAACTGAGCGATCACAAACCGCGATCACTCAGTTCACGATCATCTCACTGTAGAGAGTGGTGACTGTCAGTCACTGAACCCCGCAGGGATTCCCCACTCCCCTCTCCAATCCTCCAGTGCTCGTTGGAGGGACAGCTGGCTCTGGCTCTAGAGAGGCAGAGCCAGCTGTCAATCAGGCAGGGGAGGGGTGGATCCCGACAATATTGTCGGGATATTTCCCGGCTGCAGCACGGGTCTGCTCTGTCAGCACATAGTGAGCAATAGACCTTAATATGCTGAGTTTTGGATCCATGGAGGACATTAGTAAATATACTCCAGTGACCCTAAGAAGAACTAAAGCCAGAAAAGGTTTAGCCATAGTTCTCTTTTATCTCCAACCTTAATAAAAAGATGGCAGAGGTGATAACCCATCCACCCGTTTAACTAAACGTTTACGCTTTACATACACTTGTACTCCTGGTACAAGTTGTCCTTTAACCCTTTGTCTTAACGGGCCTGGTTCCATACCTTGTGACAATCAGTGTGTTACAACAAGCTCATGACTGCCATAGTATCAATTTTTTTTTACAATGGTGTTGTTAATCGGCCGTCTCTACATCTGAACAGAGACATCTGCCGGGGTTCTCATTATCCTGCTTCAGTTTTAGTGATGTACATTGTCTGTGCTGGTCAACTGACTCCAGATTTATTTTCAGTCTGTGTTTTTTTTTTGCAGGTTGGAGAAGATTCCTTTGGGAACAATTACATTGAGAACTTTAAGAACAATGATGTGTGTACAGGTAATGAGAGCTGTGATTGTAAAGGGATGTCTTTCAAAGTATGTACGAATGTTAAGGCTGAACTCTGGGACAAGCAAATATTGTCCTCATACAAGAGGCATGTGTATTCTTCCTGGAATCTTGGTGAGCTTTGTGTATTTCTTCCAGATCTGTGCAGTAGTCCAGTGTGAGACTTAGAGCTTCCTGTAATAAAGACCGGTCAATGCTGCTCTCTCTCCTTGTGCAGGGTGACTGGTCTTGTCTCCGCCCCCTCCTGCAATAAGGACTGGTTCCTGCTGCTCTCTTTACTTGTGCAGGTTGATTGGTCTTGTCTCCGCCCCCTCCTGCAATAAAGACCGGTCACTGCTGCTCTCTCTACCTGTGCAGGGTGACTGCGCTCCAGTGCGTTCCAGAAGAGAATGGTGATGGAACGCACTGGAGCTGGTGTGAACCAGCCCTGAAATAAGAGAAAAGTCCATAAAGTTCAACAAATAGGGTAAAAAAAAAAAAAATAGAAAATCTTCCATAAACAAAACCCATTACCCACAGTTGATCCAGAAGAAGGCTTAAACTTATAAACAGTTACATCCAACAGTTACATAGTCAGGTTAAGAAAAAGACACAAGTCCATCAAGTTCAACCAATAGAGAAAAAAATAAATATTAAAATACATTTTTTTAAAACCTCCATAAACAACCCTATGCCCACAGTTTCCCACAGTTGATCCAGAGGAAGACGAAGAAAACTTATAAATGGTTATATCTAACAGTTACAAAGCTACATAAGTTGAAAAAAGACACAAATCATTCAAGTTCAACCAATAGTGAAAAAAGATAACAGAATAGAAAACCTCCATAAGCAGAACCCTACACCCACTGTTACTCACAGTTGAGCCATGACAGGAACCAGAGCACCTGCTGGTGGCACTGTGGTACTTGGACCTGAAGCATGTAGTTCCAGTGTCCACCAGCAGGAGGGTCCTCAGGAAGCTAAATGCGCCTCAGCATTATTCCTGTGTGCCCTGTTTCGATGACTGCTGTCCTTTAACCTGTTATCCTGAACCTGATTCTGAACCTGATCTTGATCCTGATCCTGAACCCAAACCTGATCCTGAACCTGATTCCTGTTACCCACCTAATACGGCTGCTCCTTGTACCTCTCCCCTTTGCTGCCTGGCCCTGCTGCACCCTATGTCCTGCTTTTTCTGGAATTGTATATATATATTGTATACAGTTCGTGTGTCAGGTGTTTGCATTGCTCTTGTTACATAGTCCATCATGTTCAACCAATAGAGAAAAACATTTATTAATAATTGATACTATAGAAAAACCTCCATAAACAGAACCCTATGCTCACATTTACCCACAGTTGATCCAGAGGCGGGCAAAAAAATGATAAAGCGTTACATCCAAAAGTTACATTGTTAGTCAGGCTGAAAAAAAAAAAGACACAGGTCAATCGAGTTAAACTAATAGAGAAAAAAAAATGAATAACTAATAAAATAGAAAACCTCTTTAAACAGAACCCTGTGCCCACAGTTACCCACAGTTGATCCAGACGAAGGTGTAAAAAAAACCAATGACACATGGTCTAACTTGCTCCAACAGTTATATTGTTACCTTGTTAGTCAGGTTGAAAAGAGAGAAAAGTTCATCAAATTCAACCAAGAGAGTAAAAAAATAAATAATAATAAATAGAAAAACCTCCATAAACAGAACCCATTACCCAGAGTTGATCCAGAGAAAGGCAAAAAAAAACAACAACTTATAAACAGTTGCATAGTCAGGTTAATAAAAAGACACCATCATGTTACTAAAGCACATCGAGTTCAACCAATAGAGAAAAAGATAACAAGTAAGAAACCTTCATAAATAGACCCTATGCCTGCGGTCTCCCATAGTTAATCCAGAGGAAGGTGAAAAAACCTATAAATACAAATATCCAACAGTTACATTGTTAGTCAGACTGAAAAAAAAAAAAGACACAAGTCATCGTGTTAAACTAATAGAGAAAAAACATGAATAAATAATAAAATAAAAAACCTCTTTAAACGGAACCCTGTGCCCACGGTTGATCCAGAGGAAGGTGTAAAAAAAAAAACCTATATCACATGGTCCAATTTGCTCCAACAGTTACATTGTTACCTTGTTAGTCAGGTTGAAAAAAGATTCAACCAAGAATATAAAAAAAGATAAATACATTTGAAAAACCTCCATAAAGAGAACCCATTACCCAGAGTTGATCCAGAGAAAGGCAACAAAACAAAAAAACAACAACTTGTATAGTCAGGTTAATAAAAAGACACCATTGAGTCACCAAAGCACATTGAGTTCAACCAATAGAGGAAAAAAATTAAATAAGAAACCTTCATAAATAGACCCTGTGCCCGCGGCTTCCCAGAGTTGATCCAGAGGAAGGTGAAAAAAAACATATAAATAGTAATATCCAACATTTACGGTTGATCCTGACTCCTGTTTCCCCGAAAACAAGACCTAGTTGTGACCATTTCCAGGGCCGGTGGTGGCATAAGGGGGAACTTGAAGAGCCGCGGGGGAGGCAGGAGAGAATCAGCGGTGCTAACGAAGCCAGCGCTAGATGAATCGAGACGGCACCGGAGGGATCAGAGCCGCATGAGCCGATTCCTCCTCTATAGTGCCGCCTCCTGTCAAAGGCGTAGTGATACCAAATGTACTCCGCCTGTGAGGAATCGATAGTGAAAGTGTGCTTCGCTCATTCTGGCCAGCGATTGGTTAGCAAATTCTCTTGGAAAGGTACGGCACCCCTGATTGCCCTGATCACCATATTTTTGTACATGTAGACTTTTCTACATCAATAAGTGTGGATTGTTGTACATACAAAAAAATTAAAAATAAGACCTACCCCAAAAATAATACCCAGTGTGTTTTTTTGAGCCAAAAAAAAAATATAAGACATTGTCCTATTTTTGGGGAAACACGGTATTCAGTCAGGCTGGAAAAAAAATTGACACACGTCAATCGAGTTAGACTAATCGAGAAAAAAAATGAATAAATAATAAAATAGAAAACCTCTATAAACAGAACTGTGTGCCCACAGTTACCCACAGTTGATCCAGGGGAAGGTGTTAAAAAAACCCTATAACATATGGTCCAATTTGCTACAACAGTTACATTGTTACATAGTCAATCAGGTTGAAAAAGACACGAGTCCAAAAAGTTCCATAAATAGAAGAAAAAGAAAATTCAGAGAACCTCCATGAACAGAACCCTGTGCCCACAGTTCATCCAGAGGAAGGTTAAAAAAACCCTCATAATGAATGTTCTAATCCGCTCCAGAAGGGGAAAAAAAACCTTCCTGATCCCCTAAGGCAATTGGATATTCCCTGGATCAACAATCTCTGGTGCATGTGACACTCAGAAACGTTTGTCACCAGACAAATATTTCCTCCACGTGCGGTCAGTTTGATCCTTGGCCTCTCCGCAGCAGCTCGGGACGTTGCAGAGTCCGGCGAAATGATCTCATATAAATAATTTCAGACGTTAAAGAAAACCATCTCCGTTTATCCGTCCAGAACATCTGTTTTCTATTTATAAAAAAATGAAATTGTTTAATTTTTGCTTGGCTCAGTCTCGCTGGTTTGATGTGGTCCGTTCAGTATTTCTGGATCAACCTCAGACGCGTGTTTTAATATTACTGCAATTATAGTCGTCCTGCACGTCCAACTGCATGCCGTATGAAGGAAGCGTGCTTCCGTACTAATGTACCTTTCCCATCGCAGATTTCGTGGCTCAGACAGCGGCAGCGGCCACCGGAGCAGCGAGCATCATCGTCAATGCAGAAGGTGATTATTCGTTACCTATCAATAACCCTATATGAGACCTTAACAATAAATCCTGCACTGACCTGCACCCTGAACCCCCGGCCTTCCCTTCCTCAGTTGTAAGGGCTCCTCTCCTGGACTGAAATGGCTTACTCTGATTTCATTGCACACTGCGAGCTCCTCACAATGTACATTAGAAGCTGCACAAGGCAGATAGAGCTCGCCTTATTTCCTGGCTGGAGGATATCCAGAGTCATCCAGGGCTTTCCTCCCCAGCCTGACCCTCCCTGCCCCGCCCCGCCGCTTCCATTCATTGGATTTCATTTCTTGCAGTCATGGAGGCTCAGCATCACATGTGGGTGCCATCTAGGGTAGTCTGCATGCAAATGAAGCCTGCCTAGGAACACCCACTCCAGACTGACATCCACCCATCAAGGCATTTTGATATTTGCATAACTCCTCCCAAGAGCCAGCCCACTGCTTGCATCAGAGCTGAGGGCTCTTGAGGGGAATACTGAGGCTGGGTGCTATGATGTTTTCAGGAAGCTATGTACAGCACCCTGCTGGTCCCTCCCACCAGCCATGGTCTGGCTGCATTGTACAGAAAAGTACAGACACCTAGTAATTACATCACTGGGTCTAAATTAAGGTATGCCATGAAAACGGAAGGTTTATTTAAAGAAAGTCACTGGAATGTTGATGAGCGGGGATAGGGAAGCCAGGAAAATCAAAATACTATATACGCAGATTAAACTTCCACTTTAATACATATCTAATGTCATCTTTGGAGTATGAAAGGGTTAAAACCCCACAAGTTTTCAATTAGTTATTTGTTTCCCATTGGGGGGGGGGGGGGTCCTTTAATTTCTTCTCTTGGATGA